GACGACAGGACATACAGTCCTGCCCCTGATTTGTCAGCAGGTTTTTGAGAGGGGGGCCTCAGGCTATTGGGCTTGTTGCCTGCCCTGCTCATCCCATAGCCAAGGCATTTGAAGAGTATAAGGCTGGATTTCAACGTCCGGTAGGGACAATGGAGTGGTCAAAGGCCACCATTAGCGCTCGAACACTGCAAGGCACGTGTCCGGGTGGACCGAATGTCAGGGCTGTTGTTCGAAGACGGACTGTTCGTCTATCGGACAACGCTCTAATTGATGATGTTGATCTAAATGCACCAATTCGTAAATCCACCTTATTCAGGCGGATCCCCGGGCCTATGGATATTAGGACGTGCGGCCAGTATAACTCTGAGCTCGCGCGCGCGGTGAAGGTTAGACCTAGTGCTAGCGAGCTGAGCTTCAATGATACTGCTGAAGTTTTGCAGGTCGAGAATACCAGAGCACGCAGTGAGTCTAGGCCGATAGTCCATCGGCGGTCACACTCTCACCCTATTCACCCGGATAGATTGCGTCAACCTCCTGAGGTGATTGCAATGTCCGAGGAGAACGCTAGAATCCTAGCCGCCACAACTCGGCAAATTGTACAGATGTACCTAGGTGAGTATGTGCCTGCCAATAAGTGGGCCCGTCGCATTCGTATGATCAGGGAAACTATTCCCGATCAGATGCCAGCAATGCCTGGCCCGCAGGCCGGGATCCGGTGGCTTGCTGACACTGGATGTCCTTTCGACTTGGTTGGGATGCACGACATCCCTATCCAAGATCATCGCCATATCAAGAATGGGCGAATTCAACATTCTCTGCAAACCGCCAATGGCGTTGCTGGAGCCCAAGGTCGGGTCGATGCAACTGTTGAATCGCTTGACGAGGACATCGAAGCCTTCGTCATGGGTAATACACCCTCCATCATATCAATAGGGCGTAGATGTGTGGATTTTGGATACAGTTTCCGGTGGGATGCCTTTGAAGTGCCTATTCTGATCTGCCCATCCGGAAGAACTGTGAAGCTTGACGTTATAAACAACGTCCCATACCTGCCTAAAGGGCCGGTCATGTTTGGAGCCCCAAATCTAGACGCATGTCCTGCGATGCCGGCAATGCCCGGACCAGTGCTTGCTCTGAACGATGAGCTGTACCCTGCAGCTCCCTCTGAGGCCGACGCGCCTGACGAGGGGGGTGAGGTTGTTGAAGTCAAGCACCCTGAGGGGTATAGAACTGAAGCTCAATTGCGTGCCGAAGCCAATACGCTTCAGCACATGATGACGCATTTACCAAAGAATCCGTTTTGCACGCATTGCCAACGCGCAAAAATGGAGAACGTGCGTTTGCACCGCCGTGGCGGTGCTGACGCGCATGAATGCACGAAATTTGGTGACATTGTAACCGTAGATGCAATGGTGCTGCACGGTTTAAAAGACCGTGGTGTAAATGGCGAAACCGACGCAGTCGTATTTTACGACCTTGCGACCAAGTACATAGATGTACTGCCCGTGTTTAGTCGATCTGTACCTAATACGGGAGGCTTTTCACAAGTTTATGGGTCCAGAACCCAAGATTGGTCTGTTATACTCGGACCAAGCCAGAGAGTTTCTTGCGGCTACTCGCCGAATGGCGTGGGTGCACCACATGTCTACACCTGGGATGCCTAAGACGAATGGCATTATAGAAAATAAGGTGAAGCTTGTACTGCATGGAGCAAGGGTACTCCTCAGACAAGCCGGCTTATCGCCAAAGTGGTGGCCATTTGCCGTTCGCGCATTTTGCGCTGCCAGGAATCTCGAAAATCGAGGTGAAGGAACCGCATGGGGAAGAAGAAATGACGACAGGGATTTTCCCGGTCAACTCATCCCATTCGGATGTCTTGTCGATTTCAAGCCAATCGCGCCTAAACCGCGTAGGCTCGAAAAGGGGGGGCTCAAAAACGCCTCCGAACGGGACGATCATCACAAAGCTGATGAAATTCCCACAAAAGACCACTGGATCTTCGATGAACTCTGTTTTCTTGTTTAATGCTTTTCAACTTCAACATGGCCAATGCGCCCTTCCAAATTCACTCCATCTCTTTGTACAGGCGAGGGGGGTGTTTTTGGGGGCATGTAGTTTTATCATCGCATGTTTCAACGCCACAGCCAATGCGCTGTTCTGGCTCAAGTTTTCATTCCGTCGACTCGACTTGCCATATCGTCAAAAGTGCTGTCAGCGGCGCCGTGCCGGTGCGTGGGTGGTCGATTCCCACGCCCCGGACTACGGCGGCTGGGCGGTTTTGGGTGTGGGTCAGGTTTGGGTTGGGAACTGCATTGCTGCTGCTGCTCCGCTTTTGCTTGGTTAATTGCTTTGCTCGCTTGCTTGCTGCGCTCGCTTGGTTGGCTGCGCTGGTCCCCTTTGCTGTTTGGGCTTTGCGGTTAAACAGGATCCCCCGTTTGTTATCTGTGTGGTTCATTGCCAGCCGAGGGCACCGCTTTGCCCTTGGGACTGGGGGACTTAAACAATCTTCTTGTTGGTGGGATTGGGCCTGTTTATTCTCTCCCGAAATACTGTTTCAAACCCTTTCGCATGATTGAATTGCACCACCCCATTCTATTGAACCCTCAGTTTTGTGTCTAATGGACCCAACGTCGGAGTTCCATACTATTTTGACTGTGCCTGGAGGTTATCAAAGTCAGAATCGTGGGTGACTTCAGTGGCAAAATAATGGGGCCACACATGTAGGTTGATCCAAATGGCCCTTCCATGGGATGACCATTTGGGGGGGAACCTGAGAATCTGATATGTGCCACATGGGGGAAGTTACCCATCATGGTCGAAACTGCAGGCCCTAAGCGGAATATGCGCCCGGCCCCAATGGGTTGGAGCTTGACGAATCTCTCTCCGCCAGGGTCGCGGCGCTGGCCGATGAGGCAGCATGGCAGGGCTGCGCTGTGGAGCCCGCCCTATAAAGCCCCCTTTGGTTGAAGGTGGGCTCCCCTTGAACCATGGAGTTTTCCCAACCAAAAGGAATAAAGCAATGGTTCCAGTTCTTCTACCTTACGGGCCACTCATACGAGACTGACCATTTTGACCATGTTGGAATCCATCTTCGTGTCACCCCCGGAGGCTTCGAGTTGGTGAGGCTGCCCTTGGACGCGTGCGTTCCAAGCGAACTTGCCAACCTTTTGAGTTTTTGGATAAACGGGTGTTGGTCCATGTTCGGTCAAATCCTCCGAACATGGAAGTGCACAGGCCCCCCCCCTGTCTCAAAGGAACGCGGTCTTCCAACAGTGGTGTGTGCATCAACCTTTCGTGACATACAGTGTTGATGTGTGCACCAAGGCATACATGGTGGGAGGTCAACCTGGAAAAATGGTCGACATCGATCCCTTGGTTTTCCAGCTTTGGTTTCTTCATTTTCCGATGTCCAGCCTAGAAAAAACCGCAAACCTTTGCAGGGGTCCCGCTCGTTTCGCCCGGCTGTTGCTCACCATGTCCAATGCCAGTGCTCAGTGCCCTTTCCGGGGGATTGTTTTCAAAGGGGGACCCTAAGAGAAACAACTTATTGTTGGTGGTTTACTCATTACTCACTCCCTGAGTTCATGGATGTTGTTCACTTGTTTGGAAGACCATTTGGTGGTACACCAACACAGTTAGACAGATGCGCCTTGAGAGACGCGTTTAGGGCGCTTTTGCATTGCTAACGACCACGCAGGATGGCAACACGGCGCTGCACCGCTGCCTCAGCGCACCAGGTGCCAGCGGAGCCGATGTTTTTCCTTTCGCGCGTCAGGAGTTGGGATGGTGGGGATGTGCTGCGGATATCCGATGGTTCGTCCTCGTTTTTGTTTTGTTTTTGCGAGTCAGGAGTCTGGGTGCAGGTTGGATGGCGGGATGTGCTGAGTTTGAACTGTTGAAGATCCAACAGTCACGGAAGTCTTTTGTCACTGCTCTTTGGTTGGGATGTTCGACCTTTCGAATGCAGTGTTTGTTTCTTCCACCGCGCGGGGAGAGGTTTTTGTTCCCCCCCCCCCCTCGCAGGTGGCAGGCGCGAAGTTCTTCAAGCTTGATGAGTGACTGTCAATTTGGATCCTTGTGTCTTGTGTCTGGAAATTTGCCAGAGCAAGCCATGGGTTGTTTCTGTCGTTTGCTTAAGATTGTTTTGTTTGATTTCACTTCGTGGTTTTAAAGGGAATCTAGCACCACTGGAAATATGATTTTGTCCTGGCATCTTAGCAAATGGAAGGACAGCAGGCACGCTCGCTGGGTGTGCGCCACCCAAACCGCGAGATTGAGTGGCCCGCTTCGAATGTTGTTGGGTGCCAAGTGCCTGGGGATTTTCTTGCAAGCAGATTGTTACTTTAGGTTGTTACCCAACCAATCCAATCTCAAAGCGGGCTCATTTACTAGATGATCCCCATTCTTTAGGTTGTTACCCAACCTTTTCTCCTCCGCCTAGTTTGGACCGGCGAGCAGATCTAGGAAACTGTTTGGATGCGGTTTTTATGGATCTTCGCCTGTGGAATATTAAAAGAGTACTAAAAGAGGAGCAAAAAAGGACAAACAGGGGGACGAACAGGTAAAATCCACAAAAAGCGCATCCAAACCGTTTCTAGAGCAGAGCGAGGTCATTTGCTGGATCCCTTATCTCGGGTTGGACTCGTTTTGGCATTGTGCCGGCGGCTCAAAGCGAACCGTTTCCCTCCCAAAGGCCCGCCTGGTGTCTCTTGCAGGGTCTGCCACGGAATCAACGGGGCGAGGCTATGAAGAGGATGCAGCTTCACTCAGCTTCATGAATGTAACAAAGCTCGGCTCGGCAGGTTCAGGAGGTTCAAGGTTATCGTTCCAACCAAAGCTGCCTTTCAGGTAACCATGAGTTGGTGGTTTGCATTGGTGCTTTGTGGACTTTGTGGATTTTAACCCCCCGTTCTCAAACCAATTAGAGGGAAGCTGATTGCACCTGTTCCCCGCCCTGACTCGAGCTCCGAGCTGACCCATCCGCCGCTTCCCGCAGCTTTGGCTGAGAAAAGTGCCCCGGCGTTGGGGGCCGTGATGGGGCTGCATGGCACCTGGGGCTGAAAGGGTTCGTTCGTGGCCCCGTTAATCCCATGTCCTGTCGGTAGACAAGGGAATGCCAAGGGAAGCCTATCCATGAAGTCCATGAGCAATAAAAGGAAACTCACTGGCCACCGGGTAAACAAGCAAAAGACTCCAAAGAGTCGACCCCCGCAAATCGAGCCCCTGAAGGTGGGTTTGGGTTTGACTTGGGGTTTCCAAATTCAGTGCCATTGGGACTCTTTCCATGTTCCTTGATAGTATGGGCATGTTGAGTGGAGATCCTTTTCTTCCAGGGTAGGGGCTGCGTGACCAGTCCCGCGCGACTCAGTCGCCCTGAAAGCGATTGGACATCGCCTTTTGGTTTCCCGGTGGTTTGGGCCGTGGCCCAGCTACTCCTTTGGCGAATCTATGTGGCACGGTCGTTCCTTGTCGCCTCGTAGGTCAGGCCCCGATCACTTGGCCTGCAATGAGAACATCCGAATGTTTCGGGCGCGGGGTTGTGACCTGCTGTCTTAGTTGCATTTCGCACTCAGTTTCTAACTTCCTGAGTTCATGAACTTTAAACTTTTTGGGAAGACCATTTTAGTGGTAAATAAAAAGTTTGGACTTTTTTTTGGCCATCCACTCAGCAAGTGAGGTTTCCTTTGGTCAAGGTAAACTGGCTCAACATTTGACCTCTTGAATCAATATCGGTGTCCACCGCATGTTCGGACGTTTCTGCTGCTCGGCGTCTTGCTGGGCAGGCCAAGCGTTTTAATTTTGTTTGCGCGCCGCGCCAGAGAGGGGTCGGGAGTGGGGGAGTGGGGGTATGGAAGCCTGGGACTAGGGCCCGGGCGCCTTTACCCTCCCGTGTTTATCATTGTTTATCCAAGTCGGGCAGATAGTGCTGGCAGAAGCGCCAAAAGGGGTTGGGTAGCATTCAATTTGTCCTATCGCCTATCTGCCACCCCACTTGACTCGCAGCTCGCGCGACGCGTCAGGTGCTCACGGAGGTCTGGGTGGAGCTGAAAACGGACGATGGCCGTGTCTACTTCTGGAACCGCCGCGATAACTCTCGGGCCTGGGGCCTACTCGAAGCACGTTTGGCGCGTGTTTTTGGGAACCCTTCGGAACTTTTCTGGAGGTCTCACGCCGCCTCAAATCCGACATTTCCACCTTGTGGTGTTCTCTTTTAGGTCCATGTTTTAGTTATTTTTCCTGGGTCCTTTGAGCAACTAAGATGTGGCAGGGCTCCTCAAAGGCTCATCTGGGCCAGTGAAAAAGTCTGATTCAGAGGATCCCCTTGAGAAGCAGGTGGTTTTGGATGTATGCTGCAAACTTGAGCACCTTCTTGTTTGGTGGGGGATGGGGTCTTGCGGGAATCCAACGCATTGGGGAGGTCACCGGTTTTGGGACAGGCCCTAGGTTTGACAGAGTGTTCAATGGTTAGTGGGTCAGTCTGACTTGACAACCGGCTTTGACTGTGGTAAAATCAGAATTCTGGACCCGAGCACCAGGCATGTGCATCCTGTCTGAATGTGTGTGTGTGTGACGATGGTTGTATTTGCACTTTTGTGTGTGTGTGTGTGTTTGTGTTCCGTTTCCCCCCCTTCAATTGGTACTTTGCATTGGTGAGCCCCGTGTGGTATTCCTTTTTTCCGAAGCCCATCGGAAAGGGTTCCCCTATCCCATCCGCTTTTGTGGGTGGGACCCCTAGCAATGTTCAAGAAGCTGGGAGAAAGACGAGGTTTTTGATCGGCATCCCTGCCGACGGTAAGTCACCTGGTACCATGTTAGCACTGTGCAACGTCCTGGACTTGACGAGTTTCCCAAACCGACCGCAAGTGACCGCTGAGCTATCAGCATCAAGCTGCAGTTATCAGCATCAAGCTGCAGTTAGCTTGATTGCTATTGGGTTGGATCTTTAGACTTTAACTTTTTGGACAATAAAGCTGCTTTCCACTAAACCCCAAAAAGCTATTCACTTTTTGCAGGGTCGTTGCAGCAATTAAGTTAGTTGGGGTGAGGCCCCCCCCAGAAACCCACACCCCACGCCTTTCAGGCCTGGGAGCTGCCAGAGGGCCAGGAGGTGAAGTGGATCGGGGCGCCTTGGATTCGTCTTCGATTTGCTTCATCCCTGGGTCCCTTACAAGTGGAATTGGGGTAGGGGGGAATTTTCCGAGAAACCGATTTCTGGAGATCTCCATGTATGGTTCCATGGGTCGGGATTCCGCTCCGTTTCGGTTCGTTTCGGCCGCAACTCCCGACCCTCATGCTGGTTTGGTCGTCTCCGTTCCACTTTCACGTGAAAGGCACGATTGTTTGGTTTTATTGCTTCCTTCCTCCACTTACCAGGCGGGGAAGAGCCATCTACTTTTGCCCCGGTTTACCCTTAGTCTTAATTCTTAGACGTGTAGGGTATGGGCTTTTCACACCATCAGCCAACCAGTGGTCAATAGAACGTGTGAGCATCTGGGTTAGCCCATCAAGCATTGCGGGCAAATTGTAACTTTCGTGCACGGTGGTAAAGCGAGCTCGGGCCCCCCGAGCAATGTGCCTTGCTTTCGGTTTGGTTCTTCCCGGTTGGTGACTGAGAGCAATTTGCCAGAGAAGTTCAGAGGAGCATTTGCTTGGAGGGCTTTTTGTTTTCAGATCAACTACCAACAAGGGTGTCTTTATGCCCCCCACGGGAGGTATGTTGGTCGTCATTTCCGTCAAGGGCCCAACAGTTGATCCTCAGGTGTCAGCCCCCAAGGCCTGAATTTCCAGTGCACCTAATTTAAAGGTGGTCCTTGTTCATTGTTCTTGGCATGTGTTCTTGGCATGGGGTTTAGTGGTTCTGTTCATTTTTGAGTGGGGGGCTGAACAAATCAGTCCGTTTTTGGCAACCGCACCACGGGTTGGGAAGCCTTGTCTCATGGCTCGTGTTCTGGCGTCGGATCTCAGGAGAAGTCCCAGGATGGGCGCACCTACTACTGGAGCCGACGTAGCAAAGAGACGGTCTGGGTTTTGCCGGCCTTAGAGCCGGAGAAGAAGGAGGAGGCCGGGTCTTGCAAGACCCGAACCGGCGTTTTGTTGCTCTTGATAGAGGGGGAACACGTAACCTCACATCATTAAACAAAAAGACGGTAGCTCTCGGTTGCATCAGTATCAACCTGCATCCAGTCAACACATGGATACATCATGTTACCACTACTTGAACCAACCACCTTCTGCCCGGGGCAAAAAGGGCGTTGTTTGTCGCAGATGATTGCAGCCGTAGCCTGTGGAAGGCAAAGCGGCAAAGCCACATGTGGACAGGGGCTCATGCTCTCCTGCGGGCCCCCACAGGGATGACCAGACTTGGCCCCCCTACAATTAATTGTTACTGGTGAAAGGAGAGAGAACTAAATATCACCAAAACGTATTTGTTCAAAGGTATGCTAAACAAGGAGCTGTGTCAGAAAGTATGTCTTTCCGTGAAGCTCAGACGTTGTGTGTCTCAAACTCCCGCTTCCTCAAAACTGGTGGTCATTTTCTTGAGCAAACAAAGCCGCAAAAAAATGGATACCCCTTTGCGGCGATTCCATGGACGCTCCCCGATTCCAAGAGTCTTGGCTGCTTTCCATGTCCGGGGTCGGCAATCGAATCCGGGGGAGCTGCTGGCGCGATGGGTCTGGAGTCAGCTGAGGCGAAGGAGGTGAAGAAGGGCGCCCTGGCGTCGCTCTTGCGCGGCGAGGCTCAGGACCCTTTGGACCCGCTGGAAATCCGGGGCTAGGTGCTTTAGAAGAGCCCTTCGCCCCGGCCATTTTGGTTGGGGGGGTTGGGGTTCCCCGACTAAGATAGACAACAGGAAAAACAAAAAGGTTGGTACCGACTTATTCTAAACACTCCTATCTGGAATCTAGATAGGTCCGGGGGACATCTCAGCAAGGGCCATAGGTCCGGATCCGGAGGGTAGCTTTTGGAGCTTTCGGGGGGGATTCCTGTGCGGCCGGTTTGGTTTGGAGTCGATGCCCAGGGTGGAATGAATCAACCTTGGGTTGCTGGCAACTGGGTTCCCCTCCGCCTGTTTCAGCAAGCCTGAAGCTGTTTCTCCGGTTTGTGCATCAGCAGCTAGGTTTGGGACTTCTGATGGGTCAGCTCAGGCCGGAAACTTTCAGAAACCTTCTTTGGACGGACGAAAAACATTTCGCGCCACGAAGAAGCCCTAGAATGGTTCGATTTCGCTGTAAATGCCAACGAACAATGTCTTTGTAATTAATCATGGTTTCAAAGTAGTGCAGGATTTCGTCCATTCACAGTATCATGTCAGAAAAGCCACACAGCTCGCACATTTCCTGGCGTAGTTTTGCCAATTCGCAGGCGCACTTTGGAAAGATCATGTCCCGTGGAGATCTTCCATTTCAGAATTGAGGACAAAGCTGATATGTGTATCGGAAAAATAATCAGTTCCCGTTTTCGGGACTGCCTATGTGGGGCGGCCTGAAGCACACGGAAGGGGCCCCTCTTTCGTGTTTGCGCTTCTCGTTTGCCAGAGGGCAACCGCCAGGACGAGGTTCAAGATGAGGAGGAGTTGAAGAGGCAGATTGCATTCCGGGGGCGAGGGAGGTGTGGTGCACCCGCGAGTTGTTTTTGTGTTTTTTTTGGGTTTTTTTTTGGGTTCTGTTCATGTTGAGCTTTGGGGGCTGCAAAAACAGCGTGTTTTTCCAGCATACCCGTTTGGGTTTCTGAAGTGTTTCATTTGTGCAGGTCTCCTTGAAGTACCATTTCATCTATACTGCAACAAGTCCCAACCTGTCACGAGCTTTGAGCAAGGTTCCACTTCTTTCCATGGTGGCTGCGTGACGTTGCAAGGGAAACACAGCGGGTTCACTTGTAACTTTTGTTCTTTTCCTCAGGTTCTCTTTGGTGGATTCCTCTGTAAGTCCTGTTGTTGGCTGTGTCCCCTTTCTTGACTGCTTAAGGGAAACAACGGCAACGTGTCACAGGCAGTTAATTAAGACGTGGGCTAAATAATTGCTGACATTTTGTTCTATGATCATGACTTCATTTGGTTCGAACGTGCCCCACAAGCCTACTTTTGTCTTGAAGCTCTTTTTGCAACTACTCCCGAGTAGATTCTGGATATTAGTAAAGCCTAGGTGGCTATGACTTTCAGTAGGAAACCACCTGGCAAGTAGTTAGTGGACATGAATCCAATATATGTCTGGTTGACGCCCTTCTAGTAAGCATCCCCGGCAATTCCTGGATTAGAGCCTATATTTTCCCATCACCCATTATTTGGGTTTGGGTTTGGGTTGGAACCTGGGGATTTTGATCCCTTGTTTAAGCCATCATAGGCCATACATGTTCTTGTTGAAGCCCTTCTAGTAAATCATTTTTCCATCATAAACCTAGGGAAGTAGCAACAACCGGATTGGTTTCATTTCGTCCATTCACAGTAGTTTCCCAGAAACCTTCATCTAGGTCCCTTTCTCAGCTCTTTTTTGGTTGGCAGGGTTCCCCTACTAAAATAGACTACAGCAAAAAAGAAAAAAACTCAACAAACAAAAAACCATCGGGTAACCTTATTTCAACGTCTCTACTGGAGGACCATGTCATAGCCCCTGGCCCTGGCTACCAAGCAGCGCCTCAGGCAGCAGCTGGCCCTGCAGGAGGCGCTCCTGAACTCCCTGCCCAGCGAGCCACGCGGCAACGAAGGGTGGTTTGTCTGTAATGTTGACCCCGGATGAATAAACCCCTGTTTTCGGAGGGGGAAGAAAAAGAACGGAACGAAACTATATGTCTCTAAAACAGGAGCTCTGGTTTTCCTTAGGACGCTGAAAGCCTCAATGTTGACCCCATCTGAGTCATCCCCAGTGCAAAAAGAGATGGGGAGTGTTCCTCTCAAAAAAGTGCTTAATTCCCACTAAAACCGAGGGCAGCCCCCCTATGAATAAACTGGGGTTTATCAATCTGGGGTCAACATCATGCTTACCCGCCCACCACTTTTTCGCATGGGAGGTCCCTTTAAAAGGAACAGCTTCCATTTGTGTAAGACTTGTTCTTTTGATTAATCCCCTGGTTTTGAAAGGCATCGATCACTACTGGAAACATGTTTATTTTTTCCAGGGGGCTTGAGCAAATGGAAGCCCCCTTCAAGTTCGTTTTGTCTGAGAAAATCCGAGGGCACGGTTGGTTGCACAACATTCTAAACTGGGTGCTGAACAAATGAACTGGCGTTCCAAAGCCATTGCCCTCCCACTCTTTTTACATGGCAGCTGCTGTTCGAGACCCGGTGCGTTTAAAAGGAAAATGGTCTAAACCAGGATCCCCGAAGGTCAGGTTCCATGAAAAATCGGTGGAACATATGGCATAGATAGAGGCAAAAGCAGCCTCTCCCTTGGAGATCAGGTTAGCTTCTACTGGGAAACAGGCTGTTCACCGATGTTTGAAAAGGGGGTTCCAGTTAAAGAGAACGCCCATTTCTGGGACCTTGCCGGTACCTACATCTAGGGTTTGGGCTAAAGTGTTAACCGTAGGTGGTCGCTTGTCTTGACTCTTTGTAAGTATCCACTTGGGCCACCATTTTGGCTCAAGTGGACACTTCCCTTTTGTCTTGGAATCTGAAATTTCTCATTCCCCTCCTATCAAAGCCATGTACACCCCCGCCTATGCTGGTGCCGCGGTTGCAGAGGCTAAGGCGAAGGCGAAGGCATCCATGGCGAAGTACCTGGCAAGCCTTGTGAAAAAGGAGGAAGAAGGTTGGACCGTCCTGGCGGCTGAGGTCCCTCAGGCACCGGACGAACGGTTCTTCTCCAGCGCCGACGAGCTGGAGCAAGCCCCACTCATCCCAGCCAAGCGTAAGGCCGAGGACGAGCTGATGGCGGACTCCCCCCCTGGGGTGGCGCAGGTGCCGAAGGCCCTGACACGCCCCCCAGGGGCGTTCCTGGAGCTTCTCGACCCTCCAGAGCCGGATGTTCCCATGGAGGAACTCCTGGCGGAAGACGAGGAGGAGCCCCCGATGGAGGAACCCCTGGCGGAAGATGAGGTGGACCCCCCGATGTCCGACACCAAGTGGCAGGGACGCCAGGACCTTATGGAAAAGGCCAGGGCGCAGGTGTCCTCGGAGGGGGATGAGGACCCCGCAGCCCCCCCGCCAGGGGGAAGCGTCTTCACCAAGGCCCTCAAAGTCTCTGAGGGCCTTTACCAATTCAGTGCGGACCAGATGGCGGGCGACTTCCCGTGTTTTGATGGGACCACGGCCGCCAGGCTCCGACGACTGCAGGCCAAGGATGTCCAGCGGCTCTTGAGAGGCTTTGAGGGCCCCCAACTCAAGCAGGGGGGCCTGGAGCGCGTGGTGGAGGCGTTCTACATCGCCAAGATGAAGTATGAGCATGAGGCCCTGCTCAGCACCCCGGGACAGAAGGTTGGCAAGCGCGCTGGCCTGGGGTATGGGGGCCTTGAGAACCGCCCCCTGGGTAAGGAGCCCACATCCTGGATCTGCCCCTGCTGCACCATGCCCTGGGTGAAGAAGGGCGCCAGGAAGTGTATGGGGTGCGGCAAAAAGACGGAGCCCATCGACACGGCGTCCAACTTGGCCACCCTGGAAATGGCGGGCACGCACTGGCAGCTGACAGTGGATGACCAGGGCAATGCGGTCTGGACGGCGGCCCGGTCCGCAGGTGCCGATGGCCCTGACACGGACCGGGCCCGCGACCTCAAGCTCAGCGCCTCGGTGGATGTCAGCGAGCTGGCCACCGACCCAATGGCATGCGAGAACCTGGACCAGGCCAGCTTCTCGGATTTTGTCCCCTCCTCGGTCCGGGCGGTGATCAGGAACTGCCCCATGGAGCTGGACGAGGATTTCCTGACGGCCCCAATGGGGGAAAGGCCCCCGTTGCCGGGCGACAAGGAAGAGGGCCAGGAGTGCAGGGCCTTCCACCCGTCGGCAGTGAAGGCCTTCAAAATCCAGACCCGGCTCAACGCCACCACCATCGCCCAGGAAGAGGCAAAGAAGGCAGACCAGGTGGCAGCGGTGGAGCGATCTGCGGCGGTCCTCCACGAGCTCCAAGGAGGGGCCATCGATGGAGGAGGCGATGGGGGACAACTCCTCAAGAATTTGGACTTGGACCTTTTCCGCGAGAAACTGCTGGATAAGCTGGGCGCGGACTGGGGGAGGCCCACACCGGAGCTCCTCCAGGCCCAGACCACTGCGGAAGAGGCGAAGGCAAAGCACCAGGCCAGACAAGCGAAGGGCGCCCTCGAGACCAGAATGCTCGAGCCCATCAAGCCTCCATTCAGTGCGTGGCCTAGCGAGATCCGAGTTGCCATTGAGACAGGGGTCTTTGAGCCGACCACGGCATGGAGGGATTTCAGCATGGACGACCTCACGTCCCTCACGGACTCCTACCTCGAAGCCAAGGCGGTCATCTCGCTGGGTAGGAACCCCTTTCCGGGGGCCCTCCTGGCAGATCTGCCGGATCTGGCGGGGATCCCCATTCCAAAGGCGGGGGGCTCTGGTGCGGCGCGCCCAGGTGCCGAGGGCCCTGACAGGCAGCCCACCATCCCCCCAGCTTCGGGCTCTGGTGCGACGAGCTCAGGTGCCGAGGGCCCTGACAAGCCGTCCGCCACCCCGGGGGGCCTGGACACCCAGGACCCGGAGGTGCAGCTCGCGGTCCTGCGCTGGATGATGAGCAAGCGTGTCGGAGAGGTCCGCATCTTTGCGGGCCGCTGGGTCCGACGACCGGGGCCCGTACACGTCCCGGACTGGGCCAACAACCTCACCAAGGTGAATCCGGAGGCGCTGGAAAAGGGTACGCATCCCAGGAACCACCAGGCGGGTGGACTCCCATGGGCCAGGTACTCCGTTGAGGAGCTGAACCAGCAGGCCAAGGCGGGGGACCGACCATACCCCGAGGACCTGCGATCCATCTTCTGGGCGGCCCCCCACGATCCGGAGGAGGACTTCCACTGGACGCGCCAGATCTCGTCCTGGACACTCCCAGGCTTGCTGGGGATGTTTGGTCACAGCTTCACTCTGCGCCAGCTCTGGGGAGTCTGGGAGTCTCTGCCATTGCTTCAGGGCCCTAGGCAGCGGGGCCCGAAGAACAAGGCCCAGAATCAGATCCGCCTGGAAGGCTGGGAGACCCTGAAGGAAGATGCTCGGTGCTTCCTGAAGGAGGAGGGCCTTCCGCTTCCGCAGACAGGACCGGAGTGGCGCCTGGTCTACCGGGCCATGGGCAAGGTCCTTGCGGCCCGGGCCTTCCTCACGGACACCCCGGCGGAGGTAATGCAGCTCCCGGTCCAGGACGTGGCGGACTCCAAGGAACAGATGATCCTCCGGGCGGTATGTGATGAGCGCATATCGGTCCCGGTGGAGAGTCTCCAGCAGTTCCCAGAGGTGTACCAGGCCCTCATGGACCGCATTGGAGGCCCGGGGGCCCTGGCGGAGGTGAAAGTCAACTGGCGCTGCAACACGAAGCAGTGGTGGGTCGGCGCAGTCCCCGACTCAGTGGCCCCCTCCATCTACCGCAAGCTTGGCTACACCAACGACATGATCAAGCTGATGGGCCTGGACCCCTCCGCCCCCGGGTGCCGGACAGGTGCCGATGGCCCTGACATCCGCCCCAGGGGAGGAGAGGGCGATGAGGGGATCGTCTACCCCCCCATCACATCGGACAACGTCCACGGCGTGGTGGGCAAGGAGTACAAGAAGAAGAACTTCTCGGCAGAGACGAAGCACGTCTTCTGGGCGCACATGGAGTGCGGCCTGGTTCTGAGCTCAGTCACCCCATGGGAGCTCATCCCCAAGACGAAGGGGGAAACCCGGGGGGGCTATATGTGCAAGTACTGCAAGGGGTACTGGCGCGCCGGGGGAGGGGGCACTCGCCTCCTCCAGATCCGGGCCGGCAAGGCCATCCTTCAGCTGGTGCTGGACGAGCCGCCCGATGGACTGTACAACCGCTGGGTCAAGGAACGGCTGGAGTTCTACCGCCGGGTAGAGCCGTCTGCCCCGCTGCGGGATGTCTCCGTGGTGGACCAGAAAGTCCCACGATTTAGGTTCAGCCACGTCACCCAGACCGGCCATGTCTCAGATGCCATCTGGGAGCTGATTCTCCGGAACCCGGAGGCGGCGGCGCTCAAGCGCATTGACGACATTGCCAAGGGGGCCGTGTGATCATGCAACACTGCGGCCATCCGGAACGGAATTGCAGGGCACCCCGGGGGAGGACAGCTGCCGATGGCGCTGATATCCCCCCCGGGCACAGCACAGGCCTTGGCCTGCACCAGGCGAGAAAAAGGGGCGCGCTTGGGCTGGTCCGGAGTGCGCCTGGGCTCCCCCCCCCCCCCTCGTTTGGTTTTCCCTTTCCGTGGAGGCTCCCCGGGTCCCCCCCCCCCCGTTTTCGGGTTTGGCTTTCCGGGGTTTTTGGGGCCGCCCGGGTTTCACTTTCCGGAGTGGATGTGGGCCTCCAACGTCCGGCTTCGCGAAAAGACCCCGGACCCGTCCAAGAAGCGATCTGCCGCATGCATTGAGTGAAAGAGAGACCCGGAAGAGGACTTGGGGCCCCCCGGGGCCTTTTCCCGGGTCTCTCTTTTGAAGTGCGTGCAAGGCGCCTTGAGATTTGGCTCCGGGCTCGAGTGGATCATGATGATGTGGAGGCCCCGCCTCCCTTCCCCGTTTGGAACGACCTTCCTAGGGGT